TTTTTTTTTTTTTTTAGTGAAAAACAAAAAAAGAATGGAAAACACTGTTTCCACTTTTGAAAGAGTAGCATATATTCACTAAATCACAATTTCTTATTCCCAAAGCAATTTAAAACTAAAATTAGTTTGATATTATCATTAATAGAGTCATCCTGGTACTGAAGGCAAGAGACTAGAACACAAAAATTTTTTTTTACCATTTGGTTGTAACATTTATAGAACAAAATATGCTGCAAATAACTTTTTATCCATAAGGAAATTAAATCATAAGATAGGCAAAAAAGGTATAGTCATGAAAAGAAATGTATAAGCAAGTACACAAAATTCTACATAGCTCCATTGCTCGCCATGGTGCCCTCATATGGTTAGATATAGTCTCCATTCATTTCTTCCTTTAACTTTTGAACATTTAACTTTTGTCCACTTTTGTGAACACTGTTGTAGGCAATGGGGAAATACAACAGTGAACAATGCAGCCAATGTCCTTCAAAAGACTACTAATAGAAGAGTGTTTATCATATACTACATCCTGTGTTTGGCCCCAATCTTGACTTTGGCCTGATCTTGGCCTCTACTCCAGTTTAGGAGGTAAGCCACAGCAGACCAACACAGAAGTATATTTTCTATCTGTCATACCAGCTCTGTCCCAGTGACCCAGATCTTGCTAATCATAATGTAGGTCTATTTGACATTCTTTGGACAGGCATATGGGCCTGTTGCTATGTAGGTTCATCAACATGCTAGTGGATGGTAGTTTTGAAAATTAACTACATGTGAGAGTAAAAGCAGGGTTAACAATTTTCCATTAAAATTTTTAAGACAAGTTCTTCTTCTTCCTCAGTTAACTGTGCATGTATCCACACAAAGAACAAAAGAGTGGATAAAAAGCACTTTGGAGAGCCCATTGGGCTCCCTCCCCCCAATGCCATGCTGCGACACTGTTCAGTTCTCTAAGGCAATACCACCTTCCCTCCATCCTGCTGCCCTTGATAACTCCTACTGGGATGCACACAGCACAATCTGGGGCACGGGAGCAGCTGTCCCTGCCAGGAACTCTCTGCTCAGAGATGGAAGCATAACCCTGTTAAATTAACAGTTGTGAATGGAGCACAGAGCCAAGATGTTGTTAATTTATTTCACTCTATCTTGAGTTTTCTGAATGAGGCACAGTCTTATATGATAGGACATCTGTACTTGGGCATTGATGCCAAGTGATCCTTTAATACAAATACTGCTTCTTGTGAAAGTAGACAAACCAATTATTTCAGAGTGGGCAGGTGTGCAGAAAAGACCCTCTGATGATTCAAAAAAGCTACAATTTTACAGCCTCCCTTTTCTCTTTAAGAACACAAAGCAAAGGGGATGAAACTTCTTTTAAAAATCTGGAAAACATAAAAAGAAGAAAGCTGAGACTCTGCATGCTATAAAGAAAGAAACTTTACATGGATAAATCAAGGCTCCTCTGTACTCTCCCCCCCCCCACCACACCCATCTCGCTTTCTCTTTCTCCCCCTTTCTCTCTCTCTCTTCCAATTTTTCAGATTATCTGCCACTTTAACTTTCCAAATGATCAGGACTTAAGTTTCTATACATAGCATCTATGTTACAATATCTATTTAGAGGGCTCAGACTGGGCTTGAGTGCCAAGATTGTGGGACCAGCCTCAACTGAACAATCCAAGAGTATAAGGCACACAAGAGAAGAAGGGGTACTAGGAAGGGAGAGAATCATGTAAGACCAAAGTTAGGAGAGAGAGATGAAGGCAGTCTTGTAAGAGCTAGGCAAACAAATAGGCAGGTGTACCTAAAGAGATAATCAAAGTGTTCCATGGGCATGCAGCACATTCTGGAGAAACTGCTGGACCACTTAACATCATTAGAAATTTAGGGAAACTGGATTTTAGAGATTGGTTGAAAAAAGACAACTAATATATGTTTCAGATAGAGGGAAAGAGACAGATTGAGATGAAAGGAGAGGGGAATAAGGGAAGGGGAGGAAGGAAGGGAGGCAAGGGAAAAAAACGAGCCTAACATAAGGTCAGACTTAAATGACTGAATAGAAACATCCAAAGACAAAAATATTTTAAGTAAAAACTGGGTCTTATGCTAGACAGTGTTGGATTGTAAGTGTGCATATCCTTTTTTTTTTTTTTTTTTTGTACCTTTAATTGATTCTATTAATATGACTTAAACTACAGGTTATTTTCTGGTAAAATTCCTTTCACAGTACTAGAGGTAATTGGACTAGGAGTACATTTTGGTGAGAGAGAAAACAAGAAGAGGACTTTTCCCAAGACTGGCTACTGGGTAACCTAATGTGTCAAGCCACATAGACCTTTTCCTAATTGGAAATATAATAACTTACCTAAGACAAAGGCTATTTGAGCCCAGAGAAACCAGAGATCACTCAGTAAAAGCAGCACGGCTCCTTCAGTTTCTAAAAATGGCCCTGAGAAGTTAAGTGACTTGCCTAAATTTATAGGGTGATTAAGTCAGTGGCCCAGGTTATACTTGACTCAGGTCCTCTTTCCTCCCACCCAACCCCAAGTCCAATTTTATTGCATTAGTGACTTGCAATATCTTAGCCTTTCTTCTGGCAGATAACCCCTAAAGCATCACGTCAACATTCTCATTCATTTATTCATTTAACAATACAGAGTGCCTATGCTAGGTACTATGGACACACTACTGAACAGATGGTACTGTATCTACCCACGTAAGATTCTTTTTTTTTTTTAATTTTTTTTACACTTATTTATTTTTAAGAGAGAGAGAGAGCACAAGTGGGGTAGGGTCAGAGAAAGAAGGAGACACAGAATCCGAGGCAGGCTCCAGGCTCCGAGCTGTCAGCACAGAGCCCAACGCAGGGCTCAAACTCACAAACCGTGAAATCATGACCTGAGCCGAGGTCGAACACTTGACCGACTGAGCCACCCAGGTGCCCCCATAAAATTCTTTTGTAAGTATGCTTTTTGGAGAGAAATAACCTCATGGTGCTTTAACAATCATTAATTTCCCAGGAATTCACAGTAGATGCCTGATCTTACACCCATTTTGTAAAGAAGTTAGGCCAACAATCTATGTAGTGAGTTACAGGTGCAGAAGGTCTGGAAAAAGGGGATCTTGGTATTTAATAGCTAAAGAGTCAGTTCATAAGTCTCATCAAGATAGATTTACTTTTAGGGTGCCTGGGTGGCTCAGTCAGTTAAGCGTCTGACTTCAGCTCAGGTCATGATCTCGTGGTTCATGAGTTTGAGCCCTGCATCGAGCCCTGCATCCAGCTCTGCATTGACAGCTCAGAGCCTGGAGCCTGTTTCGCATTCTGTGTCTCCCTCTCTCTCTCTTTGCCCCCTCCCTGCTTGTGCTCTCTCTCAAAAATAAACATTAAACATTTTTTTCTAATTAAATTTCTTAAAAAAAAAAAAAAAAAAAAAAAAAGATTTACTTTTGGGATACCTGGCTGGCTTAGTTGGAAGAGCATGTGACTCTTGATCTCAGTCTTGAGTT